AGAGGAGTGATTTGAGACAGAGGGTGTTTCCCCTCTCTGCTAGATTCTTAATTACAGATTGACGTTCTTTGTTCAGTTGATTGCAGTCAATTAGCAGGTGAGACGTGGTCGCGATTTGTCCACATGGGCATTTAATTGGATTGAAGGTGAAGTCTTTTATTACGTTTATCGTTTTAAGCCTCGTGATGAGTTTGCATATTTTGATTGATGGATGATTGGTGTAAACCTTGTCTACAAGGTTGCTATCAATTTGATAGCGATGAGTATTCTCTTGTTTTAGACGGGTTTTCCAAGCATTTTTAATTTTATCTTTGGCTATGCTTGTGAATTCTTGACTGCTGTATTCTAAATTTTCTATATCAGTTAATGCCAACCCTTCCTTGGCTAGCTTGTCAGCCTGTTCATTGCCGAGGATATTGATGTGGGAGGGGATCCATGCAAGGACTACCTCCCTTCCGTTATTCTTTATTGTTTGAATAATATACCTAATTTGGTGGATTATGTCCTGTCTGCTTTTGGAATAGTCTGATTCGATGGATTTAATGCTACTTAGTGAGTCTGATAGGATAGGATTACTCTATTAGTCAACTTAAGTTTAAGTACTGGATGTTTCCCATCGGTGTTCAAACAGGCGGTGGTGAGACCACTAATCAAAAAGGAGTCTCTTGATCCCAATATTCTCAAAAACTATAGACCTGTGTCTAACTTGTCATTCCTTTCCAAAATTGTGGAAAGAGCTGTAAATCTCCGTCTTCAATCCCATATCTCGAAATATGAGTTGTTGGATAAGTTTCAGTCTGCTTACAGACCCCACCATGGCACTGAGACCACTGTGTTGAGGGTCCTCAACGACCTACAGTGTGCAGTGGATACAGGGAACGTAGCATCTTTGACTCTTTTGGATTTATCTGCAGCGTTCGACACTGTGGACCATCAGATTCTATACAATAGACTTAAAAACCAGTTTTGGATTTCCGGTACACCGCTTTTATGGATCACATCATATCTTAGTAATAGACATCAAACAGTTCTACTTGGTGAGGCTAAATCTCTACCGTTTAAACTTGACTGTGGTGTACCGCAAGGCAGTGTTTTAGGACCCATTTTCTTTGTTCTTTATACAACCGCTTTAGGGTCTGTGATCGATGGCTATGATCAGAGGCACTACTCTTACGCCGATGATACTCAACTCATTGGTGTGTCTAGTCCTATGCTAATCAGAAATGCCTTACAAAAAACTACTGACTGTTCGCTGGCAGTTAAACAGTGGATGAAAGCGAACAAACTAAAATTGAACGACGATAAAACAGAGGCTCTTTTAGTAGGTTCATCACAACAACTCAAGTTACTACCTGATCTTAAAATCACCATTGGTAATTCAGAAATAAATTTCTCCAAAAATGTTCGAAACCTTGGAGTGATATTTGATCCTTCTCTGACAATGGATGCTCAGGTTGATATGGTATGCCGTACATGCTACTATGCAACATCAGAAACTATCTCACTGCTGACGCTTGTAAACTACTTGTGAGATCACTTATTTTATCAAGGATTGATTATTGTAATAGTTTACTCTATGGAATCCCACAAGCATTTCTAGCCAAGATCCAAAAGGTTCTTAATACTGCAGCCCGAATAGTAACAAGGACACATAAGTTTGATCACATCCAGAATGTGCTGGCTTCTTTACATTGGTTACCTGCTGAGGCGCGAGTCAAATACAAAATACTAACATTAGTGTATAAATGTCGCAATAATGCAGCTCCTCAATACTTATCTGAACTCTTATATGACTACAATCCTATTAGATCACTTCGCTCTCAAAATAAACAGTCACTAGTTGTTCCAAGATATAATTTGAAGTCATATGGGTATAGGTCTTTCAGTTCAGCTGGTCCTAGATTATGGAACGAACTTCCACAACAGATCAAGAATCAACAAACTTTTAATCAATTTAAATCCGCACTAAAGACTTTCCTGTTTCAACAGTTTTACCAGTAGAGCCATTACAAAAAGCGTTTTGAGCATGTGTCAACATGGAGAAGACGCTATATAAAACTTCATTATTATTATTATTATTATTATGACTTGAACAGCTAAATGCATGATGTTAAAGGTTTCGTATACTAAACATTAGCATGGGGCAGAACTTTATAATATAAAAAACAAACAAATTCTAATGGTTTTCTGATAATTACTTAATGAGTTGTTACTCTTAATCAGATTTTATTATATTATAAATGTTTCATTACAGAAAAAAGTAAAAATATGTGACAACTCTTGTTGACTGCGCGGACGATATAGCTGCTGTTGGCGTATGTTTCGTTGTCTACACATGATTTTTGTGTGTGGTCTAAAAACTGCCATCTTAAATAATGATAAGAGTTATTTCCCAGACATTGCTCACAGAAGCCATGCTTGTAGGGACATCTAAACGACTTAGGTCTACTCCAAATTCATGTGTGGTAATCTTTGAAACCGACATTCAATTTTCATCATTTGCGAAGAATCTTGGTGTGTTCATGGATTCGTCGTTAACCATGGAGAAACAGGTTGTACGTGTTATTACCATCTTCGATGTATTGGCAATATTCGACACCTCTTGATAGTTGAGGCCTGTAAGCTGCTTGTGCATTCCTTGATATTCTCGGGACTCGATTACTGCAACAGTGCTTTGATTGGAATTCCCCAAAACCTGTGTGCAAAACTCAAAAAAATTCAAAACACTGCTGCCAGAATAATATCAAGAACACAAATGTATTCTCACGGATAGTAAAATCACTACATTGGTTAACCATAGAAGCCCGGATAACTTTCAAGATTCTAACATTGATTTATATTGTGTCAATGTGATCTTTCCCCATCTTACCTCACGGATCTGATTCAATCATATCAACAAAATCAACCACTTCGCTCACAAAATAAGCCCTTATTGGTTGTGCCGCAAGCTAAACCGAAATCCTATGGGGATAAATCCTTCAGTGTCTGTGGACAGCGTTTGTGGAATAACTTACCATTTGAGATACAGAGTTCTCAAACATTAGTGGTGTTCAAAACCAAACTCAAAACTCATTTGTTTGTTACGTATTATCAGGATTAGCTATTATCTTCCATGCGCTTAGAGGATACAAGGTGGATGGAGTGAGCGTACTTACAAATGTACATTATTAGTATTATTTTCGGTAAAAATGTCCAACAAGAAAATTTTGAAATCCAATCACTGCTGTGGGCGTATGTTTCATTGCCTGTGAACCTATCTTTCATTTGAATATATTACTAGCGATTGTATTACAATACTATGATATCGATCTCAATATATGCAAATAATCTGACTCAAAAGTTATCGAAATATAAGCACAATTACCGTTTATGTACGGGAGACACTTGTGGGAAAATACCGCTCTGACGTGATGTCACATTTCGGGGATTTCCATTCATCTGTTTACAACCATAGAAAACGGGATTTATTGGTTTTGCAGACTGAAATTTGCTAATTTCGACTAAATGTAGCCTGCATTTTATCTGATATTATCAAGATAATAAATATTTTATTTATTATCATTCAAATTATTATGATTTTTATAAGTTTTAGCTGGCTAATATTTGCAGATTTCAGTTATAAAATTAGTACGAGCCATTCTATACTGCTTATGACGTCACTCAGATGTGACTGAAAAGCACTTGTTTGGAGTACTGTCTTAAAGTCTTTTGGGTAGGATTTTATGTATATTTTCACAAAATATTTCAAAAAATATTTTCTGTCATTTAATATATTGACCCGAAACCCAAAAAGAATTTCCATCTGTTGTACGCAGCAAAAAGTTTATATTATTATGATCGATAAATACGATGTTATTTGATGAAAAAAAATCTGGGGGTCTGCTTTCTTCTCCGAGACCCCTTGATGTGTTTCAACAGAATTTGAAAGGTATATATCCATGATGATGTTTATTGAGATTAATTGCCGGCGTCGATAGACACTAGTCAAATTCAGGTAATCTTAAAAAAGTTAAAATTCTGGATAATAAAGAGTTCTGGCAGTGTTTATTTAGGTAATCTTAGAAATTAAAGTTCTGTACAATAAAGAGTTCAAGTGTTTATTTTTATACACCCACATTATACAGACCACATTACCATTTTCAAATTTCTACAATTTCAGTCAATTAATTCTTGAGTTTTGTCCCTTGTTTCACTTTCTAGAATGCTTTAAGGACTTTACTGATACCTATATATGTGCATTATTCACATAAATCAAATGAAGAACACTACTGAATTTCAACTATTTCTGTTCTTAGTAGAACAATGGCTGTGACAACAAAAGTTATGATCTGATAATTAGTTTGAAATTTGTAAAGTGAAGAACCTGTTTAAATTCTCCAATTCCTGATAATTCTGATTAAAGAGTTATTGTTCCTGATTGCATCATAGAAAATTGGCAAAGCAGCAGTGATATAATCCAAAGATTTTATTAATTATTTAATTAAAGATAAACAATATCCTGACCTTTCTAAATGCTAGGATTACTTATAACTGACTGATGTACCGGTAGACATTGCCTCGCAAGATATCATTATACAGTCACATTGAAATACTGTCAAATATTGCCGTCATCCAATATTTCTTCTAACTCATGACAGGCTACATTTATACTTTATCTTGTTCACAATAAAGACAAATAGATTTCTGATAAAATCACTCCTAGAGTTATTGCTCTTGATTACTTTGCACTCTTGTGATTGCTTTTGCAACAATAGTAATCATCCGATAAGCTTGAAATAAATATTTCCGTTATAAGGCAGTATTTCTAGAATATCCCTGAGCTATATCTATACTTTATCTTGTTCACAATACAGAATAAAAGATTTCTCTTATATATTTTCTGTAGTTTTTGATTGTGATTGTTTTGCACAGTCTTGTGAATGATTTTGCTGCTTGGAATTTATATATCGGCCTATTTTGACAATTGCCATGGTAATGATTTTTATTCCAATGTTTAACAGGTCTGAGTACCCCATTAAAGATTGGAGTCTTTGTTGTTCCTGCTGTTGCTTCTGGAATTCTTGGTGGTGGATCATATGGAGCTTGTCGTAAGTATTAACACCTTTACCAGAGGCATTTAAAACAGAAAAGACAGATGAGGTTTAACACAAACTAGATCAATTTGGTAATACTACTAACATAATAATATGGTTCAATTTTATTTCAATAACTCCCCTTCCTGTATGGGTTTTTAGCAGTGGGAGGAAATTTGAGAACCCAAAGAAAACCCATGTAAGTAGTAAAAGTAAATTACTGTCACCCAGAACCAGAGACTGATCAGGATGTTTTAAGTTTATTTTATCAATAGTGGGTGGTTAAATAGTTGAATGGTATAATTGTTGACGCTGTACAGGCTAAAGTTAAATTTATACATAGTGTTTAAGGTCATGAGACGAAGAAGCCTATTAATTTTCAGCGATTTCCGATAATTACTGCCAGAGTTATGGCCCTTGATCACTTCAAAAAATCTTGTGGGCGCTCTCACTAGGGACCGGGTATCATCCAGATTTTACGAAAAAAGGTAAGAAACTACCCTTATCATCTAGAATCTAATACACGTCAACAATGTGTTAAATGCCGTCAAGATTCATCAAAAACCGCCCAGTTTGTGCTAGCGTGTAGATTTAGAAACACCATTTAGTTTTGACAGTTATCGTCTACTTTACGACCGTCCAGTTTCTCGGGATGTTTTAGATTTGAAAGGGGTTTAGTTTTTAGACAAGGCCTTATTTTCTCGGACGTTGTCGAGAAATGAACAGAGTGTTTAATAACACGAGACGTTTAGATTTTACGCCAAATTACCACTTTACCGAGAGCCGTATACATTTGTATGTGGTTACGATTTATGATGTGGTTACATTTAATAGAAAAAAAGATTTTAAAAATATTCACTGATTCAACTTAGTCATCGTTTTATTCTTTCTGTTATTCATATACCATCAATGATGGCTGAAGTAAATTACTCCATGCATCAAACAACGATAATTTTTCATTGGTTATTAGGACCCTCTAAACGCGGGAAAATTTACAGTAGCTATTGGCCAACAGCACGCATAAACAACCTTATTTGCATATTGCATATATACTATTTATAGTATTATTAGCTGGAATTATTTTCAAGTCGACAGCCTCAAGGACCAACATAATACCGTGTTTTGCGCAGTGCAGCATAGAATTGTAATAATACATATATAGTATGCAATTCTAAAATAATTATATTCGTGAAAAATTGTCTTACATTAGGCGGCAGTCCACACTGATTTGAAGGTGTAGTTCCAGTATTACAGCTAGGTTAATCCATGTCAAGTGCACAATGATAAAACTATAGCGTACGTATTCATATTAACGTGGAAGGTGTTGTTTCAGATGAAACCCGGTCGTGTTGCGGCCATTCAATCCATGCGACGGTGGTGTAATTACACGTCTGTGAACGATATGGTTTCAGACAGAACCAAGACATGTGGCTGGAATTTGTGATTTATATAACAATAGCAGGCAGTCATTCAAATAATATAATCTAAATTGCAATGACGAGCATTTATGACTGTATATTCCAAGCGACGGTGGCCTTATTCGTAGACTGAAACCCATAGCCATTGTGTGTTTTTTTTTTTGTTGTGAAAATACCGTCGTACAGTAAGCTTCTTTTACATAAAATTGAACCGAACGCCCTTTTTAATAACGTGTAAGGTTGACCGACCGATGCCAGAAATCGATATTTACAAAAAACTTTGATATAGGAACGATATGGCAAGTTTACCAGACCCGTAATTTGCCGTATGCAATTGAGGAAAACAAGTGGATAAATGATCCGTGCTCATGGCCCGAACTAGAAGTTTGGTCAAGTTTATTACGCATTTACGACCAAACAGATGTTATATATTAATTATTGGTATTAATACAAAAGATTTAAATGGTCTATCCTATTTACATTCAACTGCCGACTGTACAGTACATGCGAGTTTATCTTCTGCTTTAGCGCTGCATGCTACCCTACTCTACACAAAATACGGTACTATGTTGGCCCTTGAGGCGATCGACTTGAAAATAATTCCAGCTAATACGGTTGTTTATGCGTGACGTTAGCCAATAGCTACTGAAAATTTTCCCGCGTTTAGAAGGTCCTAACCAATTATCGTTGTTTGATGGACGGAGTAATTTACTTCAGCCATTATTGATGGGATATGAATAACAGAAAGAATAAAAGGATGACCAAGTTGAATCAGTGAATATTTTTAAAATCTTTTTTTCTATTAATTGTAACCACATAAATCGTAACCACATATACGGCTCTCGGTAAAGTGGTAATTTGGCGTAAAATCTAAACGTCTTGTGTTATTAAACACTCTTCATTTCTCAGCAACGTCGGGGAAAATAAGGCCTTGTCTAAAAACTAAACCTCTTTCAAATCTAAAACATCCCGAGAAACTGGACGGTCATAAAGTAGACGATCGATGTCAAAACTAAACGGTGTTTCTAATTCTACACGCTAGCACAAACTGGGCGTTTTTTGATGAATCTTGACGGCATTTAACACATTGTTGACGTGTATTAGATTCTAGATGATAAGGGTAGTTTCTTACCTTTTTTCGTAAAATCTGGATGATACCCGGTCCCTAGTGTCTACAGGCCAAAGTTAATATCTGATTGACTTTAAATTTATACACAGTGTTTAAGGTCATAAGACAAAGAAGCCTATTGATTTTCAACGATTTCCGATAATTACTGCCGAGGTTTGGCCCTTAATGACTTCAAAAAATCTTGTGGATGCTTTAGAGACCATAGTTATATTAATACACCATGTTTACGCCTATATATAATCGTTTCAATTGACTTCATATTTTTGATAAATTGAAAAGCTAAAATTATGATATTAAATGTTTTGTATACCAAACGTTAGCATGGGGCAGAACTAGAAGCCAAACAAATTCTAATGATTTTCTGATAATTACTTAATGAGTTGTTATTCTTAATCAAATTTTAATGTATTTTAAATGTGAAAATAAGCAACTCTAGTTGACTGCCTGGACAATTTAGCTGCTGTGGGCATATGTTACGTTGCCTGGCAACCTATCTTTAGATTACGACATAGCAGAGATATGGTTGTATAGTTGGCTGTATGTTTGCTGTATTAATAATAAAAATCCTTGTGTTTATTTTTAGTTGTTCTGGTATCAATTGGTGGTATAGTTGGTATCAATATTGCTTGTATGTTGGTTGTAGTTGCAGGAACATATGTAGTTGTTAAATTCTTTTGTAAATGTAAGTATTTGTTTTCTTTTACTATTCTGAATAATCATGCTTACGGCATGTTTCCTCCGGTCACAGAGTAGAACCATTATTTGCCCATAGACTTCAATCTGATTAAAATACAGATCTATATTTCGTTTCGTTTTCTTATACTTTTGATGAAGATGAAGATCTGACCGGTTGTAGCAATAGGTCGCGTCAGAGGTCATACAAGCAGCTTTTGATCCTATGACGTCGGACATTCGATTAACCAATTTTACTAGTGGATTACCCACAGTTCCTTGCAAAACACACCTAAAGCTTGCCATAACAGACCGTTTCATTGGCCAATCCCTCACATCATTCTAGAGGCCAAAGTTAATATCTGATTGACCTTAAATTTATACACAATGTTTAAGGTCATGAGACGAAGAATCCTATTGATTTTCAACGATTTCCGATAATTACTGCCAGAGTTATGGTCCTTGATCACTTTTAAAAATCTTGTGGACGCTCTAGAGGCCAAATTTAATATCCGTTTGACCTTAAATTTATACAAGGTGTTTAAGGTCATGAGACAAAGAAGCCTATTGATTTTCAGCGATTTCCGTTAATTACTGCCAGAGTTATGGCCTTTGATCACTTCAAAAACTCTTGTGGATGCTCTAGAGGCTAAAGTTAATATCCAATTGACTTTAAATATATACACAGTGTTTAAGGTCATGAGACGAAGAAGCCTTTTGGTTTTCAGCGATTTCCGATAATTACTGCCAGAGTTATGGTTTTCTGATAATTACTTAATGAGTTGTTACTCTTAATCGGATTTTAGTGTATTATACCGAAAAAAGTAAGAATATGCGACAACTGTTGTTGATTGCCCAGACGATTTAGCTGCTGTGGGCGTATGTTTCGTTGCCTGGCAACCTATCTTTTTTGATTCTGTTAAATTTCACCATCTCGATACCCACGAATTGTAGTTCGTCTATTTATAGCAATTGTCTCTCTGTCTCTTTTCTACCCTTTTGCACGCCCGTTTTTGTTGATTTTTTGGTCTAGAATGGACGAAGAGGGTTTGAATTAACATTTCCTGCCAGGTTTTGGTAAATATTCATGATTTTGAGGCGGAAGGTTAACAGGGTTATCAGGTTGGCTATGGCGATATGTACGGTAACTAGTTACATGTTTTTAGTATGCTTCTTCAAGTTTGTGTATCTCAAAATTTTGGTGGTCAACCTCATACAAATTTTAATGCAAAGACATGAAAAGCATTCAGCCAAATGAAAATCTGGGGAAAAGAGGCCAGAATTAACATTGAAGTCAATGGGGAAATTAATGCCGACCGGTCTCTGTATTATAATTTAGAGTTATGTCCCTTTGTACATTCAGCCTGATGGAATGTTATTAAGAGTGTGATAATACAGGACAGTAATATTAATATTGATGGTATATATATAGCTGGCTTGGTTTTATAGTTCTAGCACAGAAAACTTTACTACAACTTGTGGGTTTTTAAACAGGGCCTGATAAGCTCATGACTATGATACAAAAGTTTCATGACCACACATGGGGGTGAGGTGGGGCAGTATTCAGTGCCACATCCCATGGAGTTTAGATCATAAGGTCTGCCATTGTATCAAGTGATGTGGTTTCGTTCCCCAGCTCATACAAGACAAGGAGTAGGATGGCCTGTCCACCCATGTGGTTCTTCTCATGGGAGTGGTGTTTCCTACCACTGTTAAAGAGTCATATGCTGAGGTGAATTATTAAATAGAATTGTACCAAACTTTATGTTTATTAACTTGCTCTTGTTTTGTGTATGGATTTGTTTTTTTCTATTTTTTCTAGAATCTAAAATGACTGAAAGATCAAGTGCATATATTCCAATGATGAAGAAATTAAAGACCTACACCAGAATAATTCACATTTAGACAAACTGTCATTATTTAATTATAGTTGAGTTCGCATATTCCAGAAAAAAGAAAATTTGAAATAAAATCCAAAAGTTAATTTATTTTAATAACAAATTTTTTCTGGGAGTTTTACAATATTTAACCCAAACTGTATAAACAAAAATAAAAAAATACATTTACATGATTTAGTTTAATTACTCTCTATTTAGAAGAAAAAACAATTTCCCAATTAATCCTGTCTGTTTGGTTGGATGAGTATCAGACATATTATTTTAAACTTTGAATTTTAATTCAACATTTTCTTTTTACTGGAATTTTAAATTATTATAAAACAACTCTACAGACCTACAGCAGAATTAATTCTTATATTTACAGTAAGTTACAATACAGTACAGACTTGAATGATTGAACAGTTCATTGGCTATCATCACAAGATCATGGTTGCTGTACATGTCATGTCTTTTTCAACTATACTATATGTTAATAGGTTGGTCTTTAAACTGTCTATATGTTGTCTGCACTAAATTTTATTTTTTGATCTTCAGAGAAACCGGTTAAAATGTTGCTTCAGAAAAAACAAATTTACAAGCAAAAAATCTTTGGTTGCTCTTCTCAAAACCTTTCAATTCCAAATTGTGGATGATATTCCCCTGGATATTTTATCAGAAGAACAAAAAATGAAATTACCATGACCACAGCCTACATGTATGTGTATGTATTTATATTTGTTTGATAAGTAATTGCTTTATTAAATCCTAGCACCTACCATCTTTCGTCCATAAAAATGTATTTTATAAGTAAGCCTGTAAAGTGAAACACATTCAACAATTAAAATTATTTTTTAATGTTTTAATCAATAATCTTTATGATGACATTTGTTAATTTGTGCCTTTTTTCACATTTTTATGTAGAAAATATTCTTGTTAATTGATTCCACCCTATAGTGTAATTCTTGAGTGTCATTTAGTGATTAAGCACATTAAAACACAACACAATTTATATGGAATACAATCACTGGTTTATACACATATTATAGCACGAGGTTTTGACAAGTATTCTCTTATCGTTATCAAGTACAAATTATAAGAGAATACATGTAAAAATGTCGTACTTTTTGTGTATAAACCAGTGATTGTATTCCATATAAATAGTGTTGTTTTTTCACCCTATAGTGGTTTGAGGTTATTTTGATTAGTTTTGCTTTGTTAAATTTTTAAGAAATAAGAATATTTAATTCTGAGTGATTAATAATCAACAGAACCTACAAATAAAGGGAAAAATAGAAAACCATCTTTTAAGAGGCATTAGAACTTTGATGATCTTGACAGTTACATACACCAAGAGTGTAAGCCAACTCATCCCTGAGATACAGTGGGCTAATAATATTTGTTAAGAGTCGTAAATATTTTAGTCTAGTAGTCGAAGCACCAACCTCTGACTCAGAAAGAAACTGAAAATGTCAAAAAAATAAAATATAAAGGAAACTCTGAATCTGGGGAGAAAACTTGATGGATCCTCCAAGATTCCAGTGGATTGGTTCCCGAAATGGTCATGTCCTTATTTTGCCCCTGTTAGAACCTAATAATGTTGTTAAAGAAGTTCATCCTCTAAGTCAGTGCTAGGATATTCAGGGTTATTACATCATAGTATATGGTTTGGTTTTTATTAAAGTCTTTATAACAATTGAGTAGATATCTTGCCTTTTTCTTGCTTCAAGTTCCAATATATTAACAAGTGATTATAATACCCTCAACCTGCTTCAAGTTTCAATATATTAACAAGTGATTATAATACCCTCAACCTGCTGCAAGTTTCAATATATTAACAAGTGATTATAATACCCTCAACCTGCTGCAAGTTTCAATATATTAACAAGTGATTATAATAACCTCAACCTGCTGCAAGTTTCAATATATTAACAAGTGATTATAATACCCTCATCCTGCTTCAAGTTTCAATATATTAACAAGTGATTATAATACCCTCAACCTGCTGCAAGTTTCAATATATTAACAATTGATTATAATACCCTCAACCTGCTGCAAGTTTCAATAGATTAACAATTGATTATAATACCCTCATCCTGCTTCAAGTTCCAATATATTAACAATAGATTATAATACCCTCTTCCTGGCGCAAGTTTCAATATATTGTAATACCAAATTAATGTACCCGGTGATGATTTTTGAGAGCTCTTATTCTTCCTCAGTATTCAGTCATTGAAAATATTTAACAACATTATGAATAAATTATATATGGAAGCATGTATTGTTTTATTATATCAGTCAAATGAACCAATTAAAACATTCATGCTGAACGCTCGATTTTCTTTCATATTATTGTGCCATATGTATATATATGTATATATTGATTGTCAACTTTTTATAATCATATATAACATGATCTAAAAATAATAATATTTTTCTTATTCTTGTAAAATTACAACTTGCCATTTGTTTGATTATTATTAGTTATTTTTATTCTTAATGAGATAAAAAAAAAAACAGATTAAAAGAAAAATAATTTACATAGGTAACCTTGCAGAATTGTTTTTATTTGCTGAAATTGTATACTCCACACTGCAGCATGATAATTTACTATAGTGTGTGTAGATTTTATACTGTTATGTTGGATTCTCTGAGATTATTGGAAATATCAGTGATTTATCAAGAAATCTAAATTTTACATTTCTGTAATCTTTTGATTAATCATTTTATGTTCAGTTTAAATAATAGTTTTATTTCGTATAATATAAATGAGTATACATTATGACATTTTAATTAATAACAAAAGTAATTCACATTATATATTTATAATTACAGTCTAAACCTTATTCATTACACACTACCCAGTGTATAACTTTACAGTATGATCTATCTATGAAATCTGTAAACTTGTCTGTTCTTTATGACAATTATAGCCTGGTTTATATTATATGATGGGAATATGGTGTCGGTGTAAAATGTATTATTTTTAAAATCTTGTTTTTAAGCTAATAAAATTTTAAGTTATGTCCATCTGAGAACTAATTGGTTATTTTTAACATTCAGTTTTTCATTCACCCTTCTCATTATAATCATCCACTGTCTATGTATCTAGTGTGCTCTCTGTCTATCTAGTGTGCTCTATCTGTCTATCTTGTGTGCTCTGTCTGGCTATCTTATGTGCTCTGTCTGTCTCGTGTGCTCTCTGTCCATCTGGTTTGCTCTGTCTGTATTGTGTGCTAGCTGAAATCTATTACTGTGACTGTGTGCTCTTTGCTATCAATAAATTCAGCGGTTCCATTTTCACAGGATACAAGGAAATAAGAAATACATTAAAAAGTAGATTGAAGGAAATTGAAGATTATTCTATCAAAGATATATTTTTAATGCATAAATATTTTAAATATTTGGGAGAATATAATAAATCTGTTAAAGTATATTTATAGTGATCATGCAATGTTAGCTATGATCCTCGTCAATTCCACATTGCACAATAAGATACTACCTCAGAGGTAAAATGGCACCAATTGAGAGGCGGACTGCGGGGGCGAGGGCTGGGTAGGTTTATAGCATACAAAATGGGGAACAGTTGATCAAACCAAGGACACTTATTGATTTAAAGGGCAATCAAGCCTCACCCTCACCCAAACCTACCCCATGCTAGTTTTCTCCTTGGATTCGAATGTTTCCGATAATTTCCTGACGATTTCGTTTTGGGAAAAGTTGAAGGGCGCGTGGCGACCGCTGCACCAGTTATCTTTTGTCAAGAAATTTTGTAAACAACAAAAACAAATAGTTAAAAAAAAAACCTTAGTCAGTCTTTTATGTGTGCTTGTATCATCAGTACAATCATCAACTATTACACCTGTACATGTGTGCTGTTTAGCTAGCTTGTGTCCTTTAATAGTTTCAGTCTTTATTAGCCCAGTCGGTGCAGAATAGTAGGACGTTAAACACCATTTCATCTGTACAACCAACATGTATTAATCCTGTCTATGTGTTCTACTATCATATGTACAATCAATATCTAATATTCCATGTCTCGTCTATATGACTACTGTTTATTAGTAGTAATAGTATATATATATGTATATATAATTGTTGATAATATTGTGTGCTCATCATTACTATATGTAACTCTGTGTGCTGTTATCACTATAAACTAATGTCATTTCTATAGTATGTACGGATCATCGCATAATTAAAATATGTCTCTTTGGTAGATGTTTCTCACTAGTATCTATCACCACCATAGCATGCATAATTTATCACCATGGTAGCATGCATAATTTATTTCTGAAATCCAATTAAATAAATGATAAGGGGTTTGGTTTGGACATTTAAACAGAATGAAAAGTTCATATTGGATCATTTTGTTTGGATATTTGGGATACAATGTGTTATTCAGTACCACAAGACGAATATGATCGAAAGAAAAGTGAGTTTAAAGTAAACTACCTAAACATGTTAGTTTATGTGATGTTAAACTGTACATAGTATGTACAACATACCAACCAATTATACGGGAATTTCAGCTGAATATATAATTTTATACACTTGATGATTTCCTGTTATTTATATTTATACCATATAATCTACTGTATCTTAGGTTTTAATATTGATGTATAATAAAACCCTTGTATATTCCTGTGTGTAATATATCTGTTTTACTGTATTATTGATATATAATATAACACTATACTTATATCTTCACTCGTATATGCATCACCCTATTTATAAGCATTACTTTTTATACACCCATGTGTGATGTTGTTCGTCACCTTCGACCGTCATCCTTTCACTAGTTCCTTTCAACATTCTACATGTCAGATTTTATGACAGATTTACTTTTTACAAATTTTTTAGGGATTGTTTAATGACATATGGACAGCCCCCCGCCCTTTCGCATATTGAAATTGAGAATCTTCCGATAGCAAATGACAGTTGTCTCCGTGTTTATCCCAATCATTTTAGAGGCAACAGGAACCACCATTCCACTGAAATTTTGAGACAAGTTAAATACACCATTCATCTATGTTTTGGCGCTTACATTCCATACGTACACAGACTTTTATTTCTGACGGTCTGTTAAAAACGGGGTGGTCCCTTTAATGACGAATTTGCTGCTAGTGGACGTAATGTAAAAAAGGCCCCGTCCATGTTTTTCAATTAAATTTGATTTTGATTTTTCTGTTAAATTGCTTGTTTATTTGTTCTTTTACTTGCTTTAATCTTTTTAAATGGCTTGGTAATTTAATTTTTAAGTAGCCAATATAAGGGTGGTGTTTATTTACTTAAAGTAATTAATATGTAGAATATTTTGAATTGCTCAACGTGAAAAAATTGATCAGCTGTAAATAATCTCGAAGGTGCACCTGTTTGTAACTTGGGGTCCAAATAACACTATTAAAGATGCATTATGTAAGATTTACATAAAGTACTCACCTTTCTTGCTTTAATGGTTCAAACACAGATAGTGAAATATGAATATATTAAAAATTTTAGTTATGAGTGTTTGAAGTTTTATCAATAGGCCTACAGTTTTGTTATCAATAGGCCTACAGTTTTGATTGCCAATTAACATTGCTGCGATGATAACAAAAAAATGTGTTGATTATCCATTTTTTTTATGCGCCTACATGAAAATTTGGTCGTATATTGGCGCAATCTCCAGCCTTTTTTTGTGAACACCCTACAGACTACATTTATCATTCAATGTGTATTAATTTTAAATTGGTAAAATAAAGAAGCCTATTGAATTTCAGTAATTTCCCTTAATTTCTCCCGGATTTATGGCCTTTGTTGAATTTGTTGAACCCTTTGAACGCTCTAACAACATATGATATCATCTGATCTGTATGAAATTTAGATCAGTGAAACGCTTAAGCCTTTTGAATTTTAGCAATTTCTGTTTATTATGTCTAAAGTTATGGCCCTTATTTTACTTCGTTAAACCTTGTGAACGCTCCAAACCGAAAGTTATCATCTGATCTGTATGGAATTTATACATATCATTTACATTAGTGAAACGCTGAAAACTATTGAATTTCAGCAATTTCCATTAATTACGTCTAGAATTATGGCCACTGTTTCACTTCGTTGAACCTTGTGAACGCTCTAACGTCAAAAGTTATCATCCAATCTTTATGAAATTTATATGCATTATTTAAATTAGTGAAATGAAAAAGTCTATTGAATGTCAACAATTTCTGTAAATTAGTTTCAGAGTTAGGACCCTTGTTTCAGTTTGTAGAACCTTGTGAATGCTCTAACAACAAAATTATAATCTTATCTGTATAAAATTGTGTTGTAAATGTCCCCAATTATTTACAAAAGAATGCATGTTTGACAAAATGCATCTTTAACTGACTCAGATAATAAAATATCTTTTAAGAACCAGATAAAACATGTGGAAACTGTATTATTCACAAATTTTTGTATTAGTGAGCAGGCATATTATTATTATTATTACATGTTGTGTATTATTGTATTTATACCTGGTGATATAGCTATTAAAACTTCTCTCTCTACTTGTAATTGTTTTCATGTGGTTCTATTATTGGAAAATACAACAATTTATCGTTATCTAGTTCTTAACAAAATTACCAATACACCAGACAGCCTACCACCTCACCACCTCACCACAATCTGGTGTCACAACCACACAGAACCCGAAGCACTAATGCTGTGTATCAATTAATCTATTAATGGGTTTAACGTCCTACTGTCCTGCTCCAACTGGGCTAATGAAATGAGGTTTAAGCCCTACTATTCTGCTCCGAACTAGGGAAATTTTGCCCAGACAGCAGCTATACAGCCTACTCTTATATCAAATTCCGACTGCCAAGGTTTCTTTTACGTGCATGTCAAAGGAACCTTGTTTTTCCGTCTCAGCCGAACTACTATACACTGTCCCTTGTCAGACCCTCCTTCCTACACCACTGACAAGGGGGAACCACACTGGAAGAACCAGATGAACTTTCTTGACCAACACGGATAGATCACGGGACATCAAGATGGCAGCTAATCTATTATTTTTATTTTTTAAATCTTTATTTTAAAACAATATTTTTATCCAGGACGCCTGGATGGGATTGGGGAACATGCTAAAAAAAACCTTTTACAGATTTTTAAAAATCGTTTTATAAAAAGAAAATCCTATTTTGTTGAATGCAATTGGCTGCTCAAGGCATACATGTAGTCTGCATGAGAATATTTTGACGAAAACTTGGATATTTACTTTGTTATTATCTGAAGTTATAAAACTGGAGTTATCTCCCTTTATCGCAAACCATGACCTTGCCAATTATTTGTCCGACTAATTATTATTTTAAAAGTTTGAAGTTTTAGTGAATATTGATCACTTATAGACAGAAGGATAGGGAAATAGAATTTTGTGAATTTATTATAAGAAAAAAAAATTTCAACTATGTATTCACTGAACCCCAGAGGGTGAGAACCGAACCGAGTCTGTCAGCTAATAGTGGTTTATTGGACTCCTTGTTGCTACAGAGAGTTTAGATCCTAAGGAAAAAGTTGCTGTCCCATTTTGCACATTCCTATTGCAGATAAAATTTACAATAGAGATTCATCAGACCGCTTGCTGAAGTATGTCAGCTAATGGTGGTTTATTGGACTCCTTGTTGCTACAGAGAGTTCAGATCCCAAGGAAAAATTTGCTGTCCCATTTTGCACATTCCTATTGCAGATAAAATTTACAATAGAGCTTCATCAGACCGCTTGCTGAACAAATCGTGTCGGTCAGTCCCCCCCCCCCCACACACACACACACACCCACCCCCACCAAATAATTGTGACACGATGACACTCCATGCTACTGGTCCTCTAACCACCCCCACCCCCACCAAATAATTGTGACATGATGACACTCTCCTTGCTACCCCAGTTAACATTGATGGTTAGATTTACGTAAAGTTTACGTCATTATGGTTAGATTTTGGTTAGCGTCCAATAATGGTAAAATTCTTTGGTTAAATTTACGTTACTTTTACGTCATAATGGTTATGGTTACTTTTACGTCAGAAAATGACGTAAATATAACGTAAACTTTATGACGGATTACTAACCAATTTTTTTCCCTTTGAATACTTCTTGATTAAATAACATTACAAGTGTGTGCACATTCTAACAATTGATATATAGTCGGAATTCAGACATAATAATTATATATGTATTATTGGTTATAATTCTAACGTTAATCTAACGTAAATTTTACATCAGGTTTCTAACCGTTAGTTTATGGTTAGTTTTCTGACGTAAATCTAACGTTAGTTTTCTGACGTAAATCTAACGTTAGTTTTCTGACGTAAATCTAACGTTAGTTTTCTGACGTAAATCTAACGTTAGTTTTCTAACATAAATCTAACGTTAGTTTTCTAACATAAACCTGATATTAGTTGTAAAACGTAAAACAAATGTCAGTTTAATGTCATGATACTAACAATTAAGGGCCTGACAAGACAGCTGTCTAGTCATTAAAATGGGACAAAAATGGGTAAGACCCTGGCTCGCTAGCCTGGAGGTCGGGTGTTCGATCCCTGCATTGGCCGAGAAAGTTCATCCAGATTTCCGGCGTTTTTTCCCCTCGTCAGTGATGCAGGACGAAGAGCCTGACAAGGACAGCTGTCTAGTTGTTCAGATGGGATATAAAAAAAAAAACGAGGTCCCGTGTACACATTGGCATGCATGTAAAAGATCCCTTGACAGTTGGAATTCGATATAAGAGTAGGCCGTAGTGCCACTGTCAGGGCAAAATTCCCCTCATAACACACTGTATGGTGTATGGCCATCTTCATTAGCCCAGTTCGGAGCAGAACAGTTGGACGTTAAACCCCATTTCATTTCATTACATTTTATATCCATTTCTAAGTGGGGGATCACGTGGCTAAGTGGGTAAGACGCTAGCTCGCTAGCCTGGAGGTCGGGTGTTCGATCCCTGCATTGGCCGAGAAAGTTCATCCAGATTTTCCAGCGTGGTTCTCCCTTGTCAGTGATGCAGGACAAAGGGGCTGACAAGGAAAGCTGTCTAGTCGTTCGGATGGGACGAAAAACCGAGGTCCCGTGTACACATTGGCGTGCACGTAAAAGATCCCTTGGCAGTTGGAATTCGATATAAGAGTAGGCCTTAGTGCCGCTGTCCGGGCAAAATTTCCCTCATAGCACACTGTATGGCGTATGCCTGTCTTCATTAGCCCAGGTTAGGAGCAGAAAAGTAGGACGTTAAACTCCATTTCATTTCATTTCATTTCATTTCTAAGTGCCCAAGAATAGAGATCTAGCTCCTTTAATAGTTGCGAACTGTAGGTGACACACAAAGAGAAAACGAATGAATGAATGATCTACTCTCATTTCAAATTCCAAATGTCAAGGGTTCTTTTACGTGCACACCCACGTGATGGACTAGACACTGTTTTTTTGAGGTCCTCTGTCCTACACCACTACTAACAAAGGGAACTTTCTCGACCAACATGGGGATCACGTTGGCTAAGTGAGTAAGACGCTGACTCGCTAGCCTGGAGGTCGGGTGTTCGATCCCTGCATTGGCTGAGAAAGTTCATCCAGATTTTCCTGCGTGTTTTCCCCTTGTCAGTGATACAGGACGGAGGGCCGGACAAGAACAGCTGTCTAGTCAGGGATGAAAAACTGAGGTCACGTGTACACACAGGAGTGCACATGAAAGATCCCTTGGTAGTTGGAACTTGATATAAGAGTAGGCCATAGCGCCGCTGCCTGGGCAAAATTTCCTTCATAGCATACTGTATGGCGTATGCTCATCTTCATTAGCTCAGTTTAGGAGCAGAACAGTAGGACATTAAACCCGATTTCATTTCATTTTTCTCGACCAACACGGAAATTGAACCCCTCATTTGCTAGCCAGTGTGTTACTAATTACTAGAGAGAGAGAGAGAAATGGGGTTTAAAGTCTACTCGACACAAACTAGGTCATTTCGGGACTAACATATAGTTTAATTTTTATTTACATAATTCGCTTGCGCGTAGGGGTCTTTAGCAGTTGAGAAAACCGGAGGTTGGACAAGCGACCCTACTCCTTGTCACGTACAACCGGGGATTCGAAACCACGACAGTCAACTCAATGATAGACTTTATGATACAGCGCCCGCACGCTAACCATTCAGCCATCCAACCCCCCCCCCCCCCGTTACTAATTACTAAGTTTGTGAAATGTAGGTTTTTCCTCATGTAGATTTGTCCTGATGAAATCGGTTTATTGTCCTACTGTTCTGCTCCGACTGGGCTAATGAAGACAGGTACATACCATACAATGTGCTATGAGGGAAATTTTGCCGCGGCACTATGGCCTACTAATATCGAATCCAACTGCCAAGGAATCTTTTCGTGCAAGCCAATGTATACATGGTACCTCGGTTTTTTGTCCCATCTGAGTGACTAGACTACTGTCCTTGTTCCTGCACCTCTGACAAGGGGAAACCATGTCGGAAAATCCTGATGAACTTTCTCCACCAATGCAGGGATCGAACACGTGCTCTGGATTATCGAGCCAGCATCTTACGCACTTAGCCACCGTGGCTTTATCAACATTAGTAATGAAGATGTGCTATGACAGAAATTTTGCTTGGACAGCAGCATTACCGCACTTACTAATGAAGATGTGCTAGGAAAGACATTTTGCCTGGAGAGCAGCATTTCCGCATATAGTCATTACCAATAGGTGCACTAATCCGTGCATTCACTAGTCCACTAGTCTGACTCTATAAAATACTATAAATATGAGTATTAAAGAAACCCAGTAGATATGGTGACTGATATCACCCTTCGTAAGGCGATAACCCAACATCACGGCATTTTAACCCGAAATCACAACATTTTAACCATTATAGCATATGCCCTTCTTCATTAGCCCACTTGGAATAAAATAGTAGGATGTTCAAACCCCATTTAAAATTCATTTTCATACTTTTCTGCACCAGTCGGACTATTGAAGATAGTCATACGCAATGCAGAGTGCTATGACGGAAATTTTCTATGGACTGTGGCAGGGCGGAGGATCTGGCAAGGGATAAGGTATAGTTGTTCGGGTCATACGAAAAATCAAGTCCTCATGTACATATTGGCATGCACGTAAAAGACACTCCGACAGTTGTAATTCAATATCAGAGTAGGCCATATAGTGCCGCTATCCGTGCAAAGTTTCCGTCATAGTACACTGTATATAGTGTATGCCTGTCTTCATTAGCTCACTCAGAGCTTAAATCTATGTGTGTTGTTAATGTCATTTAAAATGGCGGCTGTCTACATATACAATAGGCGTTTTTGTGAACCGATTAGATTAGACCGATTAGCTATTATACGCATTTGTGAACCAAGTTGATTATGCTAATCGTTACATTTGTGAGACGATTTAACTCAACTGATTAGGCAAATCGACCTAATCGTCCCAGGAGGTGTTTAGGCGATTAGATTTGACGTTTTCAAAATGGCGGAATGTTCGACATCGTAAGTAATTTTTAATGCTTATTGTTGTTTTTCT